GCCATACTCTGAATTATTGTGACCTGTTTTTCTTCCTTTCTTCCTTCCTTTCTTCCGTTAGCGGAAAGGCGTATTTTCGCGAAACCGAGCGTACAGCGATCTAAATTTACATCGCCGGACAAGCGACGTGAAATCCCAAGTCAGCCTGCCAGTAACCGTTGACTGACCGTGTTCCGATTTCTTCGTAAGCAACACGGTGGCTTCTATCATCGTCGTTCTTTTCCGAATCCGTTGATTTTTCAATGTGTTTGCATACTTGGCACTGCCAATTCAGCGGCACACATTTAGCGTGTAAAGTTTCGCAAGTTTTGCTCATGTTTTCTTTGATTCATAGATGAAATTCCTGAAAGGACCAAAGTCCGAGAGATAATTTCACGCCGGCACGTAGTCTCGAAAATGCTGTTGGCAACGAATTCGCATACGCAAGCATATGGAGCACGCCCCATACATGTGGGCTCTTTGGAAACTAGTGTAACTTGGCAATGAATCTTCCCAGCACGTTTGATAGACTTAATTGTATATAAAGTCCTTATACCGCGTTCCCCCGCACACGCGACGAGGGAAGAACACGCGTGGAAACGCTGCAAAAAAGAAACGGCAATTATTACTTCCTTCTCATTCCGAGAACTTACATTACAACCTCATATGTATCAATTATTGGGAGCAACTGAAGCTGCACCGGCTGGGTAATTGCATTCGTGACAAGAATTTATGTTGCGATCTTTCGCATGCCACCCGTGAACGTAGTCATAAAGCGAACGATGATTGGGAACGATGGAGTGATCAAATAATTGAATTGATCGAAGTATTAATTTATTGTCTACAATAGAGCAACGGCTCTTATAAGCACGGACCATATGTTTTGCCAAGAGATAACACACGTTTCCAAAGAGTATCGTTAACCAAAAGATTATGGACCGAAAAAAATGTTAAGAAACATTGCGTTGTGGACTAATATCTCTTTTTTTCTGCTTTGTTTCGTTAATTTTGTGCTTACTGCGTATGCAAATGACGACGGCGAACGATGCTGGCGAATGAGATTTTTCCCCGAGATTACTCGTACTATTCGCTGCTACAGCATACTGCGTCTCGACGGTCACGTACAATACACATCGATGCTGGAAAATTTTCCAGGAAATCTGATTACTTCTATTTTCAAGTTAAGAATAATTGTCGGTAATTGCGCTCCGTTTTTGTTATATTTATTTCGCACTTTTTTATATTGTAAGATCTATCGCGTCACAATATGAAATTGACTTGCATACTCCGAATTATTATTATTATACTCCATTTATATGTACTTCATTTTTTGCAAAAATCAACTTCACGTAATATTAGTACGCATTGTTTATGTGATTTACTCATTTATTTAAGAAAACTTTGAAATTTAGTTGACATTTATTTGTAATTATTTTATTTATGAGTTGTTTTTATAACACTGACATTTCATAAAATGTACGCCTTTGAAATGTACATTAATTACTTCCTCGTCTTTATATAACGAGATGTTTCTTTTTGAAAAGATTTCTTTTAAAAGTCTCATTCTCATTTGCATAGATGTTTGATATAAAACGTAAATAATTTTACGAGAGTAAATTAAAAAGTAAGAAAACATTTTCAAATAATCTGGGAATCCAATAAAGTTTCCTTTATTTTTTAACTTTTCTTTTATATCGGAAACTTATCGAATATTGGTAAAAAATTCATAGCGCGAAACTAACTATTGCTGTACATAAAATACGATCGTCGTAACACTCAAATAAACATTACAGACTCGTAGGTGAAGTTCGACTGCTTGTGAAGGATTAGGACAAAGTTGTTTGCATATAATTATGCAGAAGGTTACGACCAGGAGTATGCAAAAGTTTCCATCGTTTTTCAAGCAATTTTATTGAGTAATATTTTATAAATGAGACAATACTTTTAGACACGATATTTTAGTCAAAATATTTTCCGATATCTATCCCTTTTGCCATCTTTGGGATAAAAGATGTATACCGCGATAAAAGAAGTTTCTGTTCTTGGAGCGATCTATCTATACACGAGCGATGGAAAATTTTGTACATCCCTAATGTTTATTCTAAAATCAAATATCTAATATATTAATATTCAAAAGCCCGGATATCTCCGATGCTACTTAGCATAATCAAATAAGTTATTATCGTTGCTAATGCAGCATGAAACACATTCGAGAAAAGTTTTCAAAAAATGAATATTCCACTTCGATAATCACCAAGACTGTTTGACGAAGATGACAGGTTGAATGTTAGCAACAGTTATTAATTGCTGTTTACCAAACCAACTTAAGATGAAACTCTATCTATTTAAGAAAGGAGATCCCATTTTGATGATTGTCGGGTTTGACGCGTAGATCGAAAGTAACACACTTATCCTCATTATCGCTAATCGTTAATAATTGATACGTTGTTATTCCCGTCATGCGTGCATTTACATAATCATGGTGCTTTCAGCGCGGTTGCTAATGAAGCATTACACAGCCGGAGGTCGCTCGTGGGAGAAAGAACGACAATAACGATTCTTGCGCCTCGGCGCGCTAAGGAAGATTCGCACGAGAAATAAATTAGTTCCTCGTTGTTATTTCTATCTTTCAGTTCTGTGTGTCAATACAATCTCTTCAGGTAGAAACTGCTTCTAGCGGCACATAATAACAGTCGTTTACGAAGATAAAATGTGTATCGTGTAACGCTTTTAAGACGTATACATCTTATAATTACATCTTCGTAAAAACTTATTTTTTCACACTGCTCTACGCAGTGTAGCTCTGTGTGTCAAGTCACATTATCATAATTGTCGGAGAATTACACACCTGTAAAAACTCAGATCGATTTTAACGGGTTTATACAGAGTGGCGCGAAATTAATTCTCCGGTTTGCTTTATCCATGACTTTAAAAGTAATTAAAAAGTAACTATGACGCATTCATTTAGATTAAAAAATTTTGCGGCATTGTGGTATGACGATAAGATCAACCTATCTCCAGCTGACTCACGTTGGGAATTTTTTTATGATATTTTCTATAACCTTCAGTATTTCGAATATCATTTTTCATCGAATGCTTTTTTATTCGAATTCTTTTATGTAACAATAATCATAAATATTCCAAGCTTTTGAAGCGATACATTGACGATGAGTAATAAATTCTGCTATACATTTTTCAACAAAACGGCAGAAGTCTTTTTTATAAAATGGTATATTTTGTGTCATCCTGTACAGCTGTCTGTCTTGCTTGACTACGCATGTTAATGATATCCATAATGATATTACGAAGAAACGGGGCACGTAACTCTAAGCTGTCTCATTGGCTCACATTATTTAATTTATTTCTTTTAACACATTTTTTATGTCTCTTTTATATAAGCGACCTAAGACACACCCTATAATTTTTTACGGAAATCCTTAGATATATACGAACAAGACTAATCTCCTTTATGTTGTCAGTTTACACGAAAACATTATAGTAATTAATCTGAAAAAAATCTAATTAATATATTAATATTTAATGTTAATATTATTACGCATATCAGTTTTTTATTATGTCTGAAAATAATTACTTTTATTATTTTTATATATATTTAACTAATTTTTAACTATCAAAGTTTATCAAATCGTATTTTATCTACCTAATGATTCATCTGATTTCAAGAAATGATTAAACAAGTCTTATTATTTATGATTATTCAGTATAACAAAAGAGATATTGCAATTTAAAGAGAGATAAAGAGATATCGTTTTTTCGCAATATCAAGTCTCTCATCACAAACGATGTAGAAAAATAAGTTTTTTTTTCCTAGTACTTTCGCGCAATTTGCTTGTCCTCGAATAAAAATATATTCGTAAACAAGCAACCGACTATCTTTGCAATCGGTTCAATTGAAACGAAACTGGACTTCATGCACGCATTAAAGTTTGCTCCCGCACGTGAATCCAATCGCCACGCGCACGATATCGATTCGTGCATCTTCATGGATGACGTACACCAACGAATTTAATTCGATCAATTGGGATCAGAGACAAAGGCGAACATATGGATCTCTATACACGCAAACTGCCAAGTGCTAGAAGAAAATAGCATTGGCAGAATCGAACATCTATTTTCAGCGTCTGATGAATTGTTCTTATCGAGAAAAATATATGCGCGAGTGAAAAAATCGCAGTGTCTTTATCCTTTAGAATATAAAAGCTGTAGTTTTAAAGCGTTACTTCATTATGTCACACGCGATATAATATTATATAAAAATATTAATGTTTGAACAACGGTACATTAATAAAATATTTATGAATCATCAAATTGCAAGATAAGTTTCATACTCTCTCTTTTTATTTTTGCTTGTTTGTCGCTCTATTTAATTATTCTAATCGAAAAGAAATTTTTAATATTATACAGTATTGAGGATGAAATAAATTTAACTGAACTGAATATACGCGTGTTTCTATCATAGCAATAATAGTGTATAACTTTGCGCAGAAAGAGACATGCTAAAGTAAAGCACATGCCTTAATTGGATACGAGAAGCCCCTCTATTAAGCAACTATTTGCATTCTGTGTCGCCGAATAGACGAGCTTTTACGTAATATTGCAGTCAAATATTCATGACGGTCCAGATAACTTTGTGATTGGATTATCGCTTTCACAAACAGATTATCACTTTCGTAAATGGATTATCATTTCGCGATGTTATACGCGAACAGGCCGTGCATAAGTGTCAATGACACTGTCGTCGACGGTTACGAGATCACGATTATCATTGTAGAAAATCTGATATTTTCATCATTATCATAAGTATAATGCGTATCCGCGTTTTGTCCCGTCTTCCGTAATTTTCACCATTACACGCTTATTGGTTGTAAGAACTCGTTAGAAAAATTGTGTCGTGCTCAATCCCACGTTTGTCACAACAATGGATGCAAATAACAATAACATTGAGTACAAAAAAATCAGCAGTCCAATCTTTATATAGCTATTAGAATAGATTAAAGAAAAAAATTGTTAAAGTCTAGAAATGAGAAGCAATAAAGATTGCAAAAGTTGTAAAATTATATTTTTTTAAAACAAGAATTTAACTCTAGAATGCATAATATAGTAGAATTTTTTTTAAATTTTATAATTATTTTTTTATAGTCTTATTTATACTTACGCAATCTATTTTTTTCAGACAATTAAAAGTAATGTTTTTGTTATATCCAAAATTAAATTAACTAGAAATGCCCGAGATTAATTTACTATTGTTTTTATATCGCGATTTATTATAATTTTCTTTCAATTTTCGAACTGCTTTGTCATTCTGCATCCTAGAGTTAAATTAAAATGTCTTCGGGCAAAGTCATAAAGACGATGAGCAGCAGATGTGGAACGTGAGAAGAAATTAAAGAGAGAAAGAAAGATGAAGAACTAACAGAGATAGAAGATGAGAGCCATGCAGTCCGCGAGTGCTGCTGAAATGAGTTATTTTGGTCCACGGCCATCGGCCACGTTTTGTGCACGTTTCCTTGCGAAATCCGTTTAGTATATCAATGATCCCGTCGAAATGATGCATTTTGGATTATTTCTAGATTAAACATTGTTCTCGAAAAGATACTTTCGCGCAGTGCAAGCTGCATCGTTGATGACACGAATTTACTTCTACACGTCTCACTTTAGACAATAAAATAATATAAATTATAACAAAAAATATAATTAAGACATATTAGTGAACTCGGGTGAAGTAACGAAACAATAAAAGAGATCGAAAAGAGTATTATTATATAATAAGCTAAGCGATCAGTATATAAATATTTGTTATGTTACATATATTATTTAGAAAAGAAAAATAAATATATTCTGTATGTGCTACTAATTTAAGTAAAATTAAACAAGAATCTTAAATCCTTTTTACAAGTACCAGAAAAAATTTGCTTTTTTAACTAGTTTTTCTTGTAAGAGCTTTTAATAATTAGTCTTCTCAAATAGATGCTGTTTTTTTTTTTTTTTTGGGGGGGTACGCAAAACGTTGGTCAAACAATGAATCATAATTACGTAATGTTAAATGATGTTCGTTTTACTTGCAGGTTCAACAGTTTTTGCAAGACATGAAGGAACATTCGGCAGCTCAACGAATGGAGCGAGATAAGGAGGTGCCACAGCGGTCGCAAAGCAGCGCGGCTAGCTTGACGTCTATAGGTGCCGATATATCTCCAAGTTCTTCCCATTTCTTCGAGGTAATTGCTTTTTTATGTCCTCATATATTATTTGAAGAGCGCCAATATAGAATGATTGTTATCACAAGAGAGAGAAACTTTTATACAAAATTTAATAAAATATTCGCAATAAAAATATTCGTAAAATTAAATTAAGATTTGTGTTTTTATTCATTTTAATCGTTTGCAACGTGAAAATTAATAATATCTTGACGTGTTCTTACATTTTTTATTTCAGGTATTCTACGTTGGTAAAATTAAAGTATCGAATCCGAAAGTACAGGAATCATTCATCGATGACGCCTTGATACGGTTTCGCGTTCATGTACTCGAAAAATCGAGATCTTCTACGAGTAATCTACTGACAGAATGTCGATTGCAACGCCAAGCTGTAACGTCTTCCATTAATAGAAGAAATAGTACGGTAAGAACACTTCGCACACAGTTATTAAATAATTTTGTTATAATCATACATTTTACATTGAATTATTGTGTATGTGTTATAGCTATGAAAAATTTAGATATAAAACCCTTCAACATTGCTGTTCGATGCTGAACAATGTATCAAAAATTATTTCTTGTACAATACTAATATATATTTACATATCTAATATAGACAAATTAATGATTCGATCTTTGCCAAGTAGACTGACAAGTGGAAATTTGTCTTTACATTTCCAGGAATCTACCGCTAGTGAATCGGGCAGTATTGAGAACGTGTCGGGAAACAGTACAATTCCGAACGTGAATCCGCTTGGAGTTCCGCCAGTTTTAAGCGGCTCCGTGGAAACTTTTCCAAGAACCAGCGCGAACTCAGCAGACAACGATAGCCGTAATGGAAATCGAACGTCCGAATCTTCCACTAATTCTAATATCACCGTACCTGAAGTTATGCGAAATCGCGCGGCGTCTACCGGCAGTGTTTTAGGCGGTAGGAGGGATTCTGGTGCTAAAGGAAATGAGGATCATAATCGCACTATGGTCTTTGAAGTAAGAAATCTCAAAAAAATTATTTTGCTTTTTTTATTATTGACATTATAATTATTTTGTGATTATTATTCATATCACATTCGTTATGTTGTAGCAATTAAATAAAGGAAAAAAGTTAAACATTAAAAATTTATAACATGTAATGCTAATTTATCTATTAATTGCAAAAAGAAAACGCATATGAAATTTATATTCAAATTTATTTTTTTTTGTATGTGAATGTTTTATTTTAGGTAGGACGAAATGATTTGAGGTTGATTAGTCCGGACAGGAAGCGCATCGTTTTGCATAAACATCTGAAAGATGTAGCCAGCTGCGCGCAAGGTATAAAAAATCCTGATCACTTTGGATTTATTTGCAAAGAACCTGAACCTTGCTTTATCGGGTACGTCTTCAAATGCCAATCCGGATCAGTCGCAGATGATCTTGTTGCAGGTAAGATTTTTTTAATTAGTTTATCTATGATAAATTATTTTTTATGAAAGTTTTGATTTTTAGCGCACATGATAAGTTTTACAATTTTGAATCTTCTTTGTAGCAATTAGTCAAGCCTTTGTTGCGACTTGTAATATCGCGAAGAAGGAAAAATATTCTGTATACTCTTGCGAGCATTGTCCTATGTACTGGTATAATAAATTATATCAAGAGATTGAAGGTAAAAAATTTTTATTAATTGCAAGCTAATACTAATGAATAATATTGTATCTAACATTTATAAATATATAATATTATTTTTAGGGCAAAATGATTCAAGAGTGCAAAGTATTATTTTTTCACGTATGGAACTGTTGCCGGAGGATGAACAGGAGATCGTTGTTAGGAAATATAAGGGCGCTGAGGCTGCAGGCAATATCGGTGCAGGCTCTATGAGTCTTCGAGAGCAAAATCAATTCCTAATGCAACTGTTGCGTGCTCATTGTGAATCAAAACAAACTAGACATGTACACGATACGGCTGAGAATAGGTAATGCACCGCAAATTAAAATGTGAAAGAAAATATAGTTTGCGGATGAAATATTCTGACGGGTGTTTCTAATTTTACGTTACAGGAGTGAATTTCTTAATCAATATCTAAACGTCGGCGTTGGCAGTACGATATTTATGAAGGCAAAACGCTCTCTCACGAATAGCTTTGACAACCTTATGAAGAGGAAAGGTTCGCGTGACGATTTTGGCTTGGGCCCACAATTGAGGGATTCGAATCATTTAAGTATGGGGATACAAAAGAATGGTAGCCAGAGTCCGGACAATTCGCGACAATCATCTATAATGGACACTTCGCCGGATTCGAGTAGGCCAAGATCGTTGCGTGTGTCGCCTGAACAACAAATCGTTGTAAACAACGCACCAAAGAGTCCCATGATGGACATGTTAGTATAATTATAATTTATAATTTCGTATTCTTGCATTTTTCTTTTGTATCACTTATTTTTATGTGTATATTTTTTTGCAGATTTTTAAAAGTTGGCAACTCATCGAAAATATCTCCGACGGAGCCCACCGGAAGCAATACAACAATACAAGCCAACAGTTCGTGGCGGCAAACGATACTAAACAGAGTCGTGACACCGAGTAAAGATCACAATGTCAAGGAAACTGAAAAAGTCGGGAATATTAGTGTCATTAAAAATTTAGAGACTCCCGTTAAACGCAGAACAAAACAAGAATTGCGAGATCTGTGGAAAAAAGCGATCAATCAACAGTTGATACTTATAAGAATGGAAAAAGAGAATGCAAAGCTCAGAGGTAAAATATTTATCCGTTTCTGAAAGTATATCATTTTATATCAATGCAAGATCCATATTCAAATTTTCTATTAAAATTTTAGAATGTCAAGAGGAGGCGAGTAAGAAGGAGGCAGTAAAGAGAATCAAATTAGAATACGATGAGCTTAGCAGCTGTGCGCGTGAGGTGGTAGAAGTTTGGGATCTTCTCATTAGCAAGGAATCGCGAGTTTCCACCAAATGCGACAATCAGATGCTTTTGCATGCCATTAAACAAGGTAAATGGAATATACTGCAAGCGCAATATTCTCGAAATTAAAATATCTTGCTAATTTCGCTATAATTCATCCAAATACAGGTGTACCGAAAGGAAAGAGAGGCGAGGTCTGGCAATTTCTAGCCGAACAATTCTGCTTAAAGCAACCACCTATAGACACTCAAGATTTCCCGAATTACAATACGCCCTACGAACTACTTCTGAAGCAGCTCACATCCCAACAGCATGCTATTCTTATCGATCTGGGAAGAACGTTCCCGAGTCATCCATATTTTAGTTCACACTTGGGACCTGGTCAATTAGCGCTCTTCAATTTATTGAAGGCCTACTCCTTATTAGATTACGAAGTCGGTTATTGTCAAGGTCTCAGTTTTGTCGCCGGCGTGCTTCTATTGCATGTGAGTGCAATATCTTATTTTCAACACTATTATGTTTCACAATTCTGCAATTCTGCTCTACAGTAATCAGCTTGTTAGTATGCAAAGTGTTATTTATCGATTCTTTTTTAGATGGCTGAAGATCAGGCCTTTTTCTTATTACGACATCTGATGTTTCGCCGAGGCCTCAGAAAATTGTATTTGCCAGATATGGCAGAATTGCAATTACACTTGTATCAACTCTCCAGGCTGTTACACGACCGCTTACCAGCTATTTATAATCACTTCGACAAACATGAAGTTTCACCAACTTTATACGCCGCTCCGTGGTTATTAACTCTGTTTGCCAGTCAATTTCCTTTGGGCTTTGTAACTAGAGTTTTTGGTAAGATTTTCTTGCTTTTAACAATAATTTATGTGCTTAATTAGTAAAATAATTTCTTTTTAAACGACTGGCTTTGCTTGTAGATTTGCTCTTTTTGGAAAGCTCTGAAGTTCTCTTCCGTGTATCGGTTGCGCTATTAGAAGAGCATCAGGATCAACTATTGGGTTGTGACAGCTTTGAAGAAATTATGGGATATCTCAAGGTAAAATTATATTCAAAACATTTATGATCGATTATAAAAAATGTACAGAAGAATGAATTTATATGAATATATTGTCATATTTCTATTTTTTTTTTGTTTTGTTTCAGACACGTGTTCCAGCAGTGAACAAACAAAGTTTAGATCGCATTATGAAACGTGTATTTTACCCCGATTTGGAGATTTCCAAACAATTAAACGAATACAGAGTGGAATACCAAGTGCTTCAAGAGGAAATGATTTCAGTAAAGCCACAAATAGAGAATTTGGAAAAGTTTAAATTAATGAACAAGCAACTCACACAAGAAGTTGCACAACTCAACGAGCAACTTGAGGTAATATCAAAAGCAACATTTATCAAAGTAATTAAAAGTTTCGGCGAAAATCCTATTTGTAAAGTTTGTGTGAGATACAATTTTATGTTTAATGCAAACTTTACAATTGTGGATTTATTTTTCTATTGTATCTTTCAAAGTGTCAAGAAAAAGTTATATTAACTATTACAACTCTAAAATTACATTACAGATTACTGTGAGCAACTTACACAGGCTCGAAACGACGCGTTCAGTGCAGCAAGCGAATATCCATAAACTCGAGACTCAGAATCGCAGTCTTGAAGTAACGGTTGCCACATTAGGCACATTCATTCAACAATTAGTAGACACACGTGCTGACATCGAAGTGCCGGGCGACGTTCGTAGGATAATCGCACAGTTAAGCATGGTTGAGAAACGACGAAATGCTGGCACCAGGTCATATCCTTTAAAGGTTATCGAGGACAAACACGGCATGATAAAGAGCAACTCGACTGGCAGAGATTCTCACAATCTTCTTAGGAATAACAGTCTGGAGACACCGTATCCGTTGAAATCGACTTTAAGTCAACCCAATTTAGCAACAAAAGTCTCTTCGTTCTTCTCGAATTCGCACAATCAGATATTGAAGCAACGCGCGGAGTTGGAAGCTCTCAGAAACAAATATTCCGAGCAAGCGGTGAAAAATAACAACGATGAGAATGATCCCAAAACGGTTAACATTGACATTCAGATCACGGATACCATGAATCTGGCTAACAATCCACCCCCTCAAAGCGAGAACAATTTGAAGGTTCCAGTCACTAATTTGGAGAAATCGATATCGTTACCGTTAAGGGGTAAATTGAAATCGTCGAAGTCGGCGTACGAATTAGGATCCGTGAAAAAAGTTCCCACCAGCAAGCTCGAAGTTACGAACAACGATTCGTTGACGAATTTGACTGGAACCATGCACCCACTTGACACTTGCAGTGACGTGAATTTCCGGTATGGCGGAACCACGAAACTCAAGTCTATTAAACCTGTCAGATTATTTAATCCGAGTTGTCAGGAAGATAGCAGTAATAACAAACAGAAGTCCGACCAAAATTCAGATCCTTTAAATAGATAACAATTACTTTTAAATACATCTTCGAAGAGTGTCTTATCAAAGAAAATTTTCATGAAAAATATGTATTTAAAACGGTATTTTGGTGACGTGTAGTTTAAGTTAAAGAACGGTGTATTCGCATTTGATTACTTCTCATTTTTTTCTTTTTTTTCTTTTTTTTTTAACGAATAAGTCTTGAAACAGTATAATTCGTTAAGCTTGCGTAATTATAGAACAAAATCACTTTTTTACTTAAAACTAAGATCTGACATTTGACGTTACAATTTGTAAAAGTTGGTCAAATATTCTATTCAAATAATATTGAATATTACGTTTAAGAATCTCTCACGTCAGTAAAAAGTCGAAAAAAAAAGAAAACATGTCAATAAATATTCAAGACCGCGCAAAAAATGCATCAAAAACATATTTCTATGCCGAAATGAGACAAATGTCAAAATAAGGTACTAAAGAGACGTAACGAGTGCATACCCGGTTTCAGATTGCCAAAGGAAGTGCCAAACTTTCGTTGTGTGAGATTACACATTTTGTAGTAGAAGCGACTTTTAGTCGAAGGTATATGCGTATGTATATAGATACATTGCGTACATATGCATGCATAGACGCGATTTGTCATCGAGGAGGAACGTATGCTACGAAAGCCATTGATATATAGGCTGCTATGCACTGTAAGATTCAAAAAGAATGAAGTATTACTATTTTTGCACAAAATAAGCCTTGTGATATCAGGGATATACTTAATGGTGTATGTGTGTGTGTATGTACACATGTATATGAATATATGTACACATATATACACTCGCTGTTCTTTATAGTAAAGAGGTTTTACTATCGTTAATACGAAAATAGTATTAGCGACATTTAATATCCATATCAAATGTGTTGCGAATTAGCGTGTACTAGCGAGTAAATTACTCAATTCCCATTAGATATTTAAAACTGGTGACACTGACAGATACTTATAATGTAGGATTGATAAGATTTTATTAGAGATGATAAAATTATATTTTGTAGTATTCGAGTCTGTAATGTTCTATCAGCTAGTGATTATTTGTAACTTGTAGCGATGTATCATTTGTAATAAGTGCAAGTATTATATCTCTCTTGTGACAAGAATAAAGGTATTATATATGTCCCACTGTTTGTCGTTGTCATGGACATGTTTTTAGAATAGATATTATTTTGTAAATTAGTTGACTCGAACTAGAAACATGTAATATATAGATTTTCATAGATTTCTTTGTTGATTTGCTAATCTTATTGTGATGATAGGTAAGAGTATCAAATATATTCAATGAAAATAAGAGATTGTTTTACGAAGTACACGATATGTATATGTATATTAGTAACTAAAAAAAAGTAACATACAAAGTGGCTACATTTATAGGGACTCGTCATCGGGCGAAGTAACACTTTTTCTTTATCATTTGGAAATCTCTTTCTAATATTTTTCTTTATGCATACAGCGCAAAATGTAATGTGAAAACATAATCGCTTTAGATATATTATGGAATAATATGCAATTTGTCAATTACAAAATGTTTATGAAGTATACTTTATTGTATAAAGTAAGATCTATAAAATAATATTACTTTTACTCATATTTTTTTCAATGATGCGTTATAAAGCCAAACAAGTTATACAGATTCAACACTAGTTGAATTGAGTCAAGGAATATCCAAATATTTATTTCATCCCGCATCCACAGTATAATTAAAAAAAAAAAACATCTCGTATCCTTTTCGCTCCTTTGGTTAATATTTTCATCATACGAAGTTGTGAACTCAATTTTATTTGCAAACGCTACACTATGTATACGTAAGATTATGTACAATTTTTATCCTTGTTTGCGTTTATCCCTTAATGTTTTGTTTTTGCTATGCTAGTCCTGCAACAAAAATTTATCATTACACTAAAATCTTTAAAAAATTAGCATGTATATGTATTTAAATTACTAGTACACTAATCATTGATATATTTGTTTTTAAATAATTTAAAAAAAAAAAAAATTTAACTGAATATTCTTACGTTTGCATCTGTTTACTGCCGCTAAGCACTATATACGGTGATTGAGTTTCCTTTTGTTTAGCTTGCAGCAAGTTTAGTGTACCTAAAGGTGTATCTGTCGAAGACATTCGCTTCATTAAAACTTCTTGCTCAGCTTTCTTCATCCTCTTCTCCACCTAAAATTATTGAAAAATTATTACAATTTCCGATATCAATCTCGATTTGAATGAGAAAGATTGTATGTCTAATATATATTTAATCACTATCAAAATCTAGTATAAGAACCTTGTTTTTTCCTGGTCCTTTTCCATGAAATTTATGTGATAGATATCGAAAAGCTTCCTTAGCGCTTAAGACGTGCCCGTCGTCATCAATATATTCAAGTTTAACGTTTGGTTTGAAACCATCCTTCTCCTTGAAATCAGATGTCGGTCCATTAAAGCGATCTCTTCTGCCGAATTTGTCATCATCTCTAAAACGAAAATAATGCATAAACGAGCAAGTAAAATAAACATCACAAATTGTGAGTTCTTTATCAATAAAATTCAGTTCGTTTTTTTGCAAAGATATCAGCTAAAATGTACTCTTATCTTATTTAACAAGTATTTTAATATTATGCAAACAAGATAAAAAACAAAGCCCTTGAAATACGATGTTCTGAAACTTGTGTCCACCACCAACATTAACAAGTTTTGATAAAAAATGACTCGCAAATCTTCAAGATACATTACATTATGCGATTAAACTAAAATAAATCTAAACAAGTCGATAAATGTAATAAATTTTAATTGTTTATACCAATTAAGTTTAATTTTCACAGTTTATGTTATTTAAATTCTGCATGAATTAATTATTATTTGATGCACTTTTTTCAATATAAGTAAGTTTATACAGTATACTGATTCACAGAAAGTAGATAATATCTCTCCATGCACATGTGTATAAATTCTTTATATTTTATTATTTTTATATTCATCAAACATTCAAATGCTGGAAGATGTTAACGTTTAAATATCTAGCAGCTGAGCAATTATTATTGCCGCAAAATGTCCATAATAGACTAGTTTACATTAAACACATGCAAGCTCTGTAGTTATGTATAAAACAATCATAAAACTGTATTGTACTGAGAAAAAAAAAGAGCAATACCTTCCTTGCACGTCTATCTCGTTAGAAAATTCTGCAATCTAACTTCTGCGTCTGATTTTCCCATAAACATAGACTTGTCTAGAATCTTAGCATGATCTGCAGCAACGGAATCGCATAACATAAACATACCTTAACAAATCCTACTCTCTTCTCGGCCTGCTGTTCGCCTCCGATTAAGCAGTAAACTCGTAGTGGTAGCGGACCCGTTCCGAGCACCGATTTCCGGGCTCTATTTAAGACTGTTAACTGACAGTTTGAAATTCACTAGAGACTTGTCTAACACAATATTTGTGAAAACATATTCGACATAAGACTCACTTCTTACGCATTTTCACCGCGATATGTATTTAAAATACGTAAGAAATCTTACATCGAATCGCGATGATATATGACTCACTCACCCGTATGTTTTATCTTCTATCGAGTAATTCTGAGCTTGCAAATGTGCAAATCGTGACGCTGAAGGTCGATTACTATCCTCCTTTTGCAAGTAACCTTTGCTCATTGCTAATTTCAAAGCTCCACTTACCCCTTGTCCGAGAGACGGCTCAGCATCGAGAATTGCCGCCTCCATTACGACTGGTTCTGAAGTGTTCTCATCTGTTTATATAAAATTTGTTTAGTTAAGCAAAAAGTACATATATAAAATAATTCCTTATTATAAAATATTATATTCTTTAATTATAAAAGTAAATTCACGAAATGCCGAAATGCAATTTTCTCTTTTTCAAGAATAGTCAATTTTACTTAAATGAATCTGCACACCGATACGCAAAATACCTAAATGCACAGTGTTCCAAGCACCACGACCATTATCCTCATCCTCATTTGCAGGTGGCTCATCTTTAATTTCATCCAATTCGAAATCCTAAAATATTTACATTATAAAAATACATATGTATGTTTACCAATATAAATAGAATGTGAATAACAATATGTCATAATCGATGTACCATAAGTTCTTGTCCATTTTCCTCTCTATTTCCTGCAAGTCCGTATGTGGGTATATCACCTAAAGTTCTACAAAATTCTGCAGTAGAATTAAGAACAATGTTTCCAGCTTGGTTCTCCTCTGAGCTAAGAGTTTCTTGCTTTATTGTTTCAACAGTTTTCTGAATTCCAGCTGGATATCCTTCTTTCAATCGCTGAGCTTTCTTTAAAGCCAACTGTAGCTCCAATTCTTTATCATCTTCTTCAAGCTTTATTCCAGTAAGATCTTCTGCAGGAGCTGTGTTAATAATAATTATGTAAAACTTTAATAAACATATGTAATTAAATAATGTTTCCCAACAAAGTTAAATTCTATATACAGTCTACATATGATTAATTTCTAAATAAACCCATTTGGCAATTTTACAAAAATAAAATATAAAAATTATTATATAAATTATAGGAATTACCCTCCAAATCGTCGATATCTAAAGACTCATTATCCTTCGAGTCTTCTGGTTTTTTCCTTCTCCTACTTCCAAGATCTCTAAGATAATCATTTTCGACAGGAACTAAATCATCGGCCTTGAGTACTTTTTTCGTTCTAATTTTTCGAATCTAAAATCATGTGTATTACATTATAAATTTGCAGTTATTTATTTGAATAAATTATGAATATAAAATGTGAATGTAAAATATAAAGACGACACTAGGCAGCTAATACAGAAGTTGAAAATTTCTTTACCTTCTTCTTTGGTTTTTTAAACTTTGCAAGTTCTTCTTCGTTGTAATATTCACTTGCTAGTTTTGGTTCTGCAATCTGTAGCGATTCTAGTTTTTTATTTGCTAAGCGCTGTTTCACTGTTTCTACTTGACGTCGTTTCAATTCTACTGGATTATTAACACCCAATACAAAATTGTCCCTTTTTTCACCCTCAATTTCCTCATCATACTTTCCCAAAATTTTATTTTTGGAAAATCCATATTCATCAAAATTTTCATCAGCATATGGATCGTAAGTAGGTTTCTTAGTCTTATTCAAAACACTACGTTTGTAACGCTCATTATCAATCATATTCATATTCACGAGTAAATCAGCATTATTTTCATTTAATACTTCTTGATCTTTCAATGTTAAGATTACAGTTTTACCTTCCTCAAACGTTTCCTACAAAATATTTTATTTGACATTTATTACTAGAAACTAGAAAATGTAAAAAATAAATAGAGATAATTAATTTGTGTCTCGAGTTTTATGAAAATTTTTATGTTAAAATAATTAATATGACATATTAACTTACAATATTGTGTTCAACTTTAAGGCCTTTCAAATCCTTCTCTGTATAAGCAGTATTACGAGCAGTATGTATTTCTTCCTTGACCAAATTACCAATTCCAAATTCTTCATCCAACTGATCTAACATCTTTGCCTTAAATTAAAATAAAATATTTTAGAAAATGAGAAATATAATTACTTTTTATATAATATTTTAATATAAAATTTTTGATAAATATTTTAATAAAAATACTATAACAAATATTAAAGCATTACTCTCTTCTCTGCTTTCTTTTTCTCTTCTTCCAAGTGTCTAGATTTGTTGATCCATGATTGAGTATCGTCATCAGAATCACATTCACCCAAACTCTTCATCTTTGATAAATTTGACTCAATTTGTCGTTTCTCCTTTTGAGTACCTATCTTTTCTCTTAGCTTCTGTGCCTTTACTTTATCACTGTTATTTGGTGCAGGTTTATGGTAAAACTCTCCCAAATCATCTTTGATTTTATTTGGATCTTCTTTTGGTGTATTATCAATCTCTAACGGCTTTAATCCTAATTTTGCACGAAGCTTATTGGTTTCCTCAATGGATAATGAAGCTTGTGATGCTCCACCTTTAGCAGGAGATGGGCTGCGTTGTTTGGAAATTTCTGGTGGTGGAGGCGTCGATGGGTGTGATGATTTTGATATTTTTGGTGGTGGTGGAGCATTAACAATCTCAACTAAAAATAAAAAAGAAAAACTCTATATATACTCTATACATACATACAACTCTATACATAAATTTTATGCAAATCATGTAAAATTTCATACCATCGCTGTCATAATCCTTGCGCTCTTTCCTCCTGTGCTTTTTGTGATGTCTATGCTTCTCAGATTTCTCACGATCAGGTGTATAACTTCGGGAACGACTGCGATGACGCTTCTTCTTAGCATCGCGAGATTTTTCGGTTTTGTGCCGTTTGTTAGAACCCATGATAACACTTTATCGGTCACTACCGTACGATTGTAGTTTTAAATATTTATAATGATATTATGTATTATTTTTACTAACCGAATTATCACGCAATAACACCACGAACTGTATCAACGTACCGTTTCCGCCATATTAAATTATTGTACTTGCTTGCGCATGTGTACCGTACTATCCATGATAGATCGATTAGTTCTATCGATATATCGAGAGTCGATGTCTTTCGATTCGAGGTATCGCCTGGTGCCTTATTGGCGCCGTTTGTCGGTCGACCGTAGAAATATCTAACAATATCATATTAGGAATTTCGACACTGATTCACGGCA